TTTCACATTTCCACAGTGGGGTTGATTTACTAAAACTGGAGAGTACCAAATCAGTTGCAGCTGTGCATGGCAGCCAATCAGCTTCTAACTTCAGCTTGTTCAATAAAGCTTTGACAAAAAAACCCTGAAAGGTTTCTAGGTAGAGCTGCACCAGATTTTGCACACTCCGGTTTTAGTAAATCAATCCCTATGTGTCTATTCTCGAGTCTATGACTGTGTAATTATGTATGATAAGATTTGATATTTTCTTTAGGACAAATTGGACTTTCTTTTGATCCTAAGGCCTTCTGAGAATGTTTTACATTTATTTGCATTTTAAGGGAGAAAAAAAGAAAAATTTAAAAAAAAAATGAATTTTTTGAAGTTTGATCAGCAAATATATTGAACAAGTCCTATTACTGTGGACTTTCTTTTGATCCTAAGGCCTTCTGAGAATGTTTTACATTTATTTGCATTATAAGGGAGAAAAAAAGAAAAATTAAAAAAAAAATGAATTTTTTGAAGTTTGATCAGCAATATATTGAACAAGTCCTATTACTGTGGGGAAACTTATACATTTCAATCTGCTGCTTGTTCTATTTCAAAAACAAATGACTAGGTGCTAATGCCCTTAACCAGCACCGGGTAAACAAGAGTGGAAAAAAAGGCAGGCAATCCCACAGCTGCTCCAATGACCATATGGAGTATGTAGTCGAAAGAAAAGCGTAAAAGATCAGAGCGCTCATGGAGAAATGTCCAGAATAAAAAACAGTAATGTTCATGACCAGCAGACAATATAAAACAGTTTAATGGAGCAATAAAAGCAAGAATCGCCATAAGGATGTATCCATGAATGGATGTCATACAAGGATCAGTGCAATCCATAGACTGAAGGAATGATGGGAGCAGCTTACTGTGTTGTAGGCATGGCATTGGAGAGCCTGGATGGTGAGCTCAATAGGTGGAAGGTAAAGAGCCACAATTAATGGTATACAGGTGACCAAGGCCAGCGGTCTGAGAGAGACCCCACAGGAGGGATGAGAGGAGCTTGATGGACCTGCTCAGTTGCCGGATAGCGCGTACTGGAAGTGATGTCATGGTACACTGGAAGTGACCTCAGTGGAACACAAGGAAGTTGGAAAGAACCCTCAGAAATCCTCAGTAGGAAGGAGACCAATATCAACAAGTCCCGGTTACCATGACAACGCTTTTCACACGATATAGTGCTTTGTCACAGTCCAGTGTTGCTTTATTCTATTTACTGCAACACTAAAATTGCATTTTTGGTACAAAGCATGTTAAATGTATTTACAAAAGAAATAACTATATTTTAAAACATTTTGCATGTATTTCATGTTTCTTATAATGCATTGGTAATTTAATATGATTTTAAATGAAACAGATATACAGAGATGTATGTAGGATATTGTAATTATATATATGGTGTATATTCATGTTATTGACCAAAAGGATAGCCAAGGACTCACTATTTTAATTTATGCACAAGGCATACACCTTTGTTATGTTGGGTTAACCTGTTTTTGGATAAATATGTGGAGAGTCGGGGGGGGGGGGGGGGGGGGGGGTTCAGAGCAGGTTATTTGCAAATCTACCAGCATTGTAGAATGCAAGTTAGTCTGATTAGATTTGGAAAGGTCTTAAATATTCATGGTGTACTTGTTATGCTGTAGAGAATTTCAATGTGGCTGTCCTGTCCATCTTTTTACAAGGATGTTAAGGATTGCAGTTTTGCCATAAACAAGACAAGGAGTATCTGTTCAACTTTTTAATTAAAATCTATGCATACAGCTGTTCTAAGTCTAGACACATAAGATACATAAAATCAAACATGCTCATAAAACCAACCAATCGGTTTGCTCGACACTTTGGTCAATGGGAGAAGGTGTATATTAGGGAAGGTTTTTTTGGTTGAGTTGTGTCAGGAGAAAGTGGGTGTCAGGAGAAAGTGGGTTCTCTGAAGGTGTCTGATGATTATATGAATATTCTGGGTACCCTGTCATCTGCCATGTCTGTACCTCTGTCTTATGGATTGTTTCTGAGCTGATTAAATGTATCTCCTAAATCCGCATGTTCCTAAACCCAGAAACCACTAAACAGCTCATCCACTCCCTCATCATATCACGACTTGATTACTGCAACTCCCTCCTCACTGGCCTGCCTCGCCACAGGCTATCCCCGCTTCAGTCGATCCTGAATACGGCAGCCAGACTCATTCACCTTACCAACCGCTCCGTTTCCACGACCCCCCTCTGCCAATCCCTCCACTGGCTTCCGATTGCACAATGGATCAAATTCAAAATCCTAACACTGACGTACAAAGCTGTCCACCATACTGCCCCAAATTACATCACCGACCTAATATCCAAGTACCACCCAACACACACACTTCGCTCCCCACAAGACCTCCTTCTCTCTATTTCCCTGGTCTCATCCTCCCATGCCTGCCTCCAGGATTTCTCCAGGGTGTCACCCATCCTCTTGAACTCCCTACCCAACCCATCAGACTATCACCTACTCTCCTCTCTTTTAGGCGCACCCTGAAAACTCACCTCTTCAGGGAAGCCTATCCCGCCCCCTGCTAATTGCTGACCTCCTCCACTCTTCCTACCACTCCATCCCCCACAGCTATCTCCTCCTGTACCACTATCCCCTCCCTCCTAGATTGTAAGCTTGAAGGAGCAGTGCCCTCGAACCCCTCGTGTATCACATTGTATTATTATTGTATTGTCGCATGCCCTGTCTCCCTTTGTAATGTACAGCGCAGAGCAAACTGTTGACGCTTTATAAATACTGTATAATAATAATAATATTCTCTCTGGAAATTAACTGTTGGACTAGTTGCTGCAGGGAAATACATTTATAAATACACTCGTCATCCTCCAATTGATATAAGACAACAATATACAGATATAAACAAATAAACAGATATACCCTAAATCACATATTTTTCAATAGTATTCTATTTTTTTTTCCAACAAATAATTTAAAATGGAAACATGGAACAGGAGATGAAACTGTTACAAGTAGTGCTTATACAGGGTGATCTACTGAAATGAATGGGTTAAATAGTAAAATAAAGGTTAAATTAGAGCATGTCCCGGTTAATTAAGGGTTGAATAATTCCTTGTGCACACAATAAACATTCTTCTGTGTTAGCTGCAGCTCTCTCTTTCTAGCTCTCACAGATCTCTGTCTGTCAGGGAACTGAGGAGATAAGACAACTACTATGTTATTTTTTTTATTTTTACAAATATTACACTGAATAATCATTGTGATTGGCTGTCACAGTGATCATTCAGTGAGGAAGGTTTCAGATTGGCTGCCAGTCGTATGATTAGGAGCTCCTCTTTCTACAGACACCAGGTCTCATGGGGCTGTGCATGGGAGTGAGAAGGGGAGAGGAGAAACTGCAGGCAGTCTTCTGGAGGTACAGGTGATGCCTTGTGTACAGAGGAGGAGATTTTATGGACTTGTGTAACATGCTGAAGGTAGGCAATTGGTTAATGAGGACATACTTGAGAGCTGCTCACTCTAACATTGTTCATAACACCATGCAGTTAGCCATGACACCTCCTCCTGAGAACCATCTAAAAGTTAGGAAATATTAAAAACAACTAGAAAAGCTACAATTTCTGGGGAAATTGTGTGAAGTATTCTTGCCTCCACCAGTAGTCTACAACTGGAGTGGGCGGAGTAACTGGGTGGAGTGGCTTGTCAATCTGCTGCCTCCTCACACACCTGGGTTCCTATGGCAACTCACTCTATAGCAAGGGCAGAGAAGAGCGGTTAAAAACAAACTGCTCCAACTTGCTCACTTCACTGGCGGTTGCCATCTTCAAACAGTTGTAGTTTAAAAACTATAAATCCTACACCGAAGAGCTTTATATTGTGAGAATGATAAGACCCAGACCTACATTTTGATGCATAGTATATCTCTGAAATAATAAAAATTAAGGTACAGTCGCAGTTTAGAAATTGCCCTTCAAATTTGAGGTGGCTAGAGTGCAGTGTCAATGAATGTCAATGGGTGGCGTGAGTTGCAAACAAATGGTCATATTGTGAAAACTATGGCTTAGCCAAGGACATTTTTTGTGGCAGCAGGGATAGCTGAACGTTTTGATATACGATTTGTGTAGGTGGGCTTGAAAATGAGGGAGTGATGGCAGTTTAGAAATCATGTCCTGATTTTTCAGCTCACACTCTAGCTTTTGTCAGCTCCCACTCTAGTTTTGAACATTCCGCCATTCATTCCCATTGAACCAATTTCACCACAAAAACGCTGATATTTCGCGAACCATTCGGCGAAAACGTTCCACAAAGTAATAGCACACCAATCGGGAACAATCCGCACGTTTTGGTATATTACTGTCTATGTAGTGTAAAAACTGTGGGAGGAGTTAGGGTGATAAATTTGGCTATAATAATAAGAATATATATGTGAGATAACAGTAAGTGGTCTTGCCATGCAAGAACACTTAATTAGGCATTCTGTGTGAATGGGAATACCTAACAAACATAAAGTGGTGTTTTCTCAAACTTGACTGCAAAAGTGGAAATACACTTTAAAGTGTTACTAATCCCACAACAGTAAAATCAGTCTGTAAATGCAGTAAAGCATGCTTGTTATACTCACTGTGGAACCTAAGGGGTTAATCCTCTGCATCTCTGCATTGTGTAAAAAGGTTGTTTGATCCTTTCTTCTCTCCTTGAGTTGAAACGACCACCTGATACAAACTTAATTCGTAGTCACATGCACATGCTCAGTTTGGGGTGTATTGCTAAAGAGGTTTTTTTTTTTTTTTTTGGGAGAGTGCATGTGATCAGCACAGGGTCAATCAGCACTGTCCAGGCAGAGGGTCAAGGGTTTCACATCCTCTTAGAGAAGAAAGAAAACTCATCCTACAAGCTTTAACCAGTGCTCTGCTGAAGTCAAAACCCAGCACCCTGCATTCGCTCTATCTGGTCTCCCACAGTACACACAACATGGAAATGCAATTATTTTAGTAAATATAAACAGCTAAATACCTTTTCTCATCAGCAGTTACAGCAGTGTTGTTAGTTATATTAGTGTCCAGCCAAGCACTGATTAAAGCTTGTAGGAGGAGTTTTCATTCTCTTCTAGGAGGATGCAGAACCCCTGACCTCTGTCTGGACAGTGCTGATTGACCCTGTGATGATCACATGCACGCCTAAAAAAAAAACCTATCTAGCAATACACACCAAACTGAGCATGTGCAGAGTGCCTCCACATGATATGTCTTATCAGGAGATAAGAGGGGGACACTGGAAGAAGGGGAGGATCAGAAAAGTCAGGATCAACCAGCATTTTTACACAATGCAGAGGATTAACCCCTTAGGTTGCACAGTGAGTACAACAAGCATGCTTTGCTGCATATACAGACTGATTTTACTGTTGTGGGTTTAGTAACACTTTAATTATGCATTCTAAAGTAAATAGATTCCAATTAACTGACCATAGCTCTATGCACGTGCTACATAGTTATATAGTTAGTCTGGTTGAAAAAATTACCATTTAGTTCAACCCACAGAACTGTGCTGACTTAATGGCAGTTGTTCAAAGCCCATATCTAAGATACAATCTTATGGTCCCCTGGAAGACAGAAAAAATGCAGCTCAGGCTAAACTATTCACCTCCTCTCTGGTGCTATCCCCCACAGTAATAGCTTCCTATCACAAAATGTCTTTGGTCTTCCAGGGTTTAATGTTGTGCAGCTGCAAGGAAGACCATACCAGCTGATTAAATGATGCACAGGCATTCATTTGCATTCGTGTGCATGCAGCAGTTGTACCTCTGTAGCCTGTGAGCTGAGATTTTGAACTTATAACTCACCTTTGTTACCAACTTGTCTTCCATCAGATCTGTCCTTGGATTCCACTTATCTGCCTATATTTGCTGATTATCTTTGTTGTTGATCTCAGCCTGGACTCCTGACCAACATTCTGCTTGTTGGCCCCTGAACATTGTTGACCTCTGCCTCTACTCTTTATTTGGTTCTTTACTGCTGATCTGCTTTCAGTACTGGCATATGACCAGATGACCCAATTCTGCTTGTGTTTGGCATCCGTGAATTCTCATGACACTACCAGCTGTACTCCTGCATGTCTGATGCCAGTGTTTCTGAGTCCCAGTCACCAGTTTCTGCACTTAAGCACTTGTGAACCATCAATGGCTCTTACAGGCCCTTTCTTAGTTTCCAGGGGTGCTCAGATGAGAATTTTGCAAGATGTCACCCTCTTATGTAAGTAACACAAATGCCATTCAACCCAGAAGACTTAAGACTGGCACTATAAGTGTAGGGTATAATAAAAGACTCACCCTCTGAGGGGGCATTTCCATGGTGCTCAATATTCTCACATTGTAATGATGCAGAAAGAGGCACTGATGTCATCATGTCAGTGCCACTCTCTGAATCATTAGGGATCACTGGCAGAAAAGGCAAGTATTAAATAAAAAATAATTGAAATATACATGGATTACCATGGATTTTACCCTGTAGGGGATGTACCATCCCAAAGCATAATATATTAGCGAGGGGGTCTTTAGGTAGGTGGGAAGGGCAGTGCTACTAATCTTTAAGGCAATTAAATGTCACAACTGAGATCTGAATTTTTTATACTGATGTTGTGAGGAGGTGGGCAGGGGGTTGGATTTTTGCAAAAAAGTGAAAGCCTCTGTTCCAATTGAAGGACAATATAATTATTAAGTATGGGACCATTATAAAAAGACTGATACTTGTTCCACTGGTTGTATAAAATGTCCTCACATTCTTTGGCTGTTAGATAACTGTGTGGCGCAATCACTGGAAATAGTGACATACATTAAATTGCCCTCCATACTGTTACGGACCGTCAAACATGTTTAACTGGAGGGTCACTGTCAGTGAGCATTGATTTAAAATCACTGTTCCTATTTTCACAGCAGTTTGGTCATGTTTTTAGTACATATTGTAATTACTGAGTATATTATTTACCTTGACAAATTAAACAATTATGTAATTTCTTTCAGATCAATATACTTTAAAAAGATTTTAATAGCCTTATATTGCCTTAGAAATCTATACAGTTAGCATAAGTTCCTGTCAAACTCATATTCCCCAGCTGTAGTTGCGAATTGCTTACAGCATTTTTATGTGACCACAACAATAATGAGCTGCAGTACATAACTTGGAGAATGATTACTTTTCTACCAAATCTGTGTTACTCTTGTGTAACTTATGCAGCACATGACAGAAATAATTGCTACTATCTAATGCCCACTTTGGGTGTTTAGGCCTTCTAAAAGCATCCTCAGTTTCAGCCCTAATGTAAAAAAAAAATAGTTATATTATTGGTTATGCTCATTTGCCTGCTTCCTCTACTTTTAGTGCTAAGAAATTAGTATATGTAAATTGATTAGACGTGTCTATAATGCCGCACTCCTACTATAAATACTTAATAATATATTGTATATCACTCGTATATATCAATAAACTAAATAAATTAATAATAAATATTAATACAAATCAATAAATTAATTACTGTGATATAGTGAATTAAATCATAAATATGCTAAATTGTGCCATTAGTGCTCAAGCAATATTGTCCATGCCATATTCCAATTTCATGATTGAATAAAAAGTCTTTTATATCTTTGTGCAAAGGTGCATACAGAAATGAACAGTCTTATATATCTTTGTGCAAAATGTGCAATGTGCAGGTGAACTCCTTAATCCCTCTTTCCAGGTGCCGTGTAGTCTCAATATGTGCTCACCTTAATATTTGCCCAAATGAATTTAGGCAAATAGACTTGTAGTCCTTCTAGGACTGGTGGGATAGTGCTCCTTTATGCAGTATTCCAGATGGATGTGCAGACCTGCTCAGATCCTCCTCCCATAATCTCCTCTTAAATCATCCACGTGGCCACTCATAGATAGATTTTTGAAAAGGGGGTATCAGTATCTCCTATTTCCCCTCCTGGGGACACCTCCTTCTTATATCCACCTTATCTTATGCAGATATGCAGAGCTGGTGATTCCCTCTGCCTCTCTGACTGCCTCTGCTAGAATTGCCGAGCCTCTCCGATGCAACGTCGTGACGTCAGAGCCCCTCCCCTACGCGTTGCGTCACAGGGTCACGTGACTTCATCAGGGGGAATTTGATGAAGTCAGAGAGGCAGAGGGAATCACCAGCTCTGCATATCTGCATAAGATAAGTGCCTCATATGCTTGTATCACTGCATCTGGTAGCAATAAATACGCTTATTCAAAAGGATAAGACACTATGGTCTTTTTTTCTCTATCTGATCTATATACTCAACATTGAGGAAAGGTGGATATAAGAAGGAGGTGTCCCCAGGAGGGGAAATAGGAGATACTGATACCCCCTTTTCAAAAATCTATCTATGAGAGTGGCCACGTGGATGATTTAAGAGGAGATTATAGAAGGAGGATCTGAGCAGGTCTGCACATCCATCTGGAATACTGCATAAAGGAGCACTATCCCACCAGTCCTAGAAGGACTACAAGTCTATTTGCCTAAATTCATTTGGGCAAATATTAAGGTGAGCACATATTGAGACTACACGGCACCTGGAAAGAGGGATTAAGGAGTTCACCTACACATTGCACATTTTGCACAAAGATATATAAGACTGTTCATTTCTGTATGCACCTTTGCACAAAGATATAAAAGACTTTTTATTCAATCATGAAATTGGAATATGGCATGGACAATATTGCTTGAGCACTAATGGCACAATTTAGCATATTTTATGATTTAATTCACTATATCACAGTAATTAATTTATTGATTTGTATTAATATTTATTATTAATTTATTTAGTTTATTGATATATACGAGTGATATACAATATATTATTAAGTATTTATAGTAGGAGCGCGGCATTTTATAGACACGTCTAATCAATTTACATATACACAAATAAGTGAGTTTGTGAAAGTGCCAGTGCACCTAACACAACAGGTAGTTCACTACCACCTATTGCACATATTATACTGAACATCTGAGACATAGTGGCTCACAAGTATTCACTTTTTTAATTGAAGAAATTAGTATCTTCTCTTTTTAATGGACAAGTACTTTTGCTTTTATGGATAATGATTATTGAAATTATTAAGAGGGCATCATATCAAATATTAAAAAGAAACTGTAGCAACGATCAGTCAATTTTATTTTAAAGTCAAATGTTTTCATTGTTTTAACTAGGTGTAGTTATACTAACTTTGTTTTCCTTACCTTAATGATGGGCTGACATGTCGCGACTGCAGTTTGTAGTGGCATGGCTGGTCCATGTATTGCAGCAGCTAGCCTCTCTCTGTTTTCTAAAGGGACAGACAACTTCTTGATTTGGGTGACACAGCACCTAACACATGGCTCACCAATTCTTGTCTGTCTACCATTTCTTCTGTCATTTTTCTACCTGTTTGTGTCTTTGTCAGATCTAATTTCTGTTTAGCTCTCACTTGCAGGACACTAGACTGAGAGAACCAGGGATTGTGGGATATGCAGCTTCTTCACAGGAAATATCAGTTATCACACTACAGATAAAGGTAATGCATTAACAGTACAATGCCACAGATTTAAACACAAACCAAAACTTCTGACACCAGAATGTGAAGATTTACTTTACTATAGGCTGTGCATATAGGACAACAAATAATTCCATGAACTACATGACCAATTAACATCTTATGCAGTGTGGGTTATAATGCCTGTCACATATTTGTTTTAAATAAAATATTTATTCATTAAACATTGATTACATGATCAGCTCATGGCAGGGAGTGCCATGACATTATATATAATGTCTTTAAACACAATACGAAAGCATTGCTTAGCAAGGCCCTGCAGAATGAACACAGATTGATTGCATAGTTTAAAGGGAATCTATTGTCACAATAAACACTTTCAAATCCTTGGAAAGTAAAAAAGGGGTGGTCATTAGACCCATCGATAAGGAGGGAGGATTGGTAATCCTCACCAAAGAGAGGCATGAACAGGAATTACAGAAGATAGTGAATGACTCGACTACATATAAAAAATTGTCAGGTGACCCTACTATTACATTTAAGAGACAATAAAATAGTAAAAAAAGGAGCTAAAAAGAAGGTTTTAGATAAAAAGGAGGTTACATATTTTAATATTAAAGCACCCCAGATACCAGTTATTTATCAAATTCCAAAGATTCACAATAATTAAATTAACCCTCTTGGTCGACCCATCATAAGTGGCATCAATGCTATTTATTCCAGATTAGGACAATATGTTGACCTATACCTACAACCTTTGGCCAGTAAGGGTAG